TTCAGTCTCAAAGAAGGCTAAGGTTTCCTCTACTTCGGCAGAGTTGAATTTTAAGCTGGTTGTGTTATTTATATACTACTGTGTAACAAATAAGGAGCTCTGGTGGTGCAGTGGTTAAGGAACTCGGCTGCTAACCAAAAGGCTGATGGTTTGAACCCACCAGCCGCTTCACTGGAGAAAGATGAGGCAATCTGCTTCTGTAAAGATTTACAGCCTTGGAAACCCTATGGGGGCAGTTCTACTCTGTCTTATAGGGTCTCTATGAGTCAGAATCAACTTGATAGCAATGGGTTTTGGTTTAGTTTGTACAAGAAATCACCTCAAAAGTTGGCAGCTTAAACTGTGGATTTAGCATTCACGGTTTCTGTAGGGCAGGAATTTGGGTATGGTGTGGTAAGTGACTTCAGCTCAGGGTCTCTCACAGATCGCAATAAATTGTTGGCTGGGGCTATAGTCATCTCAAGTTTCAACTGGGAGAGGATCCTCTTTCCAAGGTCACTCACACAGCTGATGGCGGGCATCAGGTTCTTGTTGGCTGCTGGCCAGATTTACCAGTTACATGGGCCTTTCCATCAAGCAGCTCACACATGGCAGCTGGCTTCCATCAGAATGAGCAAGCCAGAGGACAAGAGAGAGGCCAAAGTCTGCCACCATTCACTCATCTTACCATGTTCCCCATTATCCTAAAGCAGCAGGCTTGATAGAATGGTGGAATGACCTTTTGATGATTTACTTAAGGTTGCTGATAGGTGGCAACAACTTGGGAGGTTGAACCAATGTCCTCTAGAATGTGGTATTCATATAAATCAGCATTTAATATATGGTGCTATTTCTCCCAGATCGGTGAATTAAAGAGTGGCAAAGGGAGCTGCTCTTTTCACTATTACCTTAGCGATTCACTAGCAAAACTATGGCTTCCCATTCACATGACTTTAGGCTCTGCTGGTCTAGAAGTCTTAGTTCCAGAATGGGGAATGTTGCCATTAGATGACACAATGATTCCAATGAACTGGAACTTGGAATACCATCTTGCCACTTTGGGCTCCTTATGCCTCTAAATCATGGAGGCAATGGAGGGTGTTACTACAATGGCTGGGGTAGGTGATCCTGATTACCATTGGAATATTGACTTGCACAATGAGGTTAAAGAGTAGTATGTATGTAATACATACAGAAGATCCTCTATAGCACTTTTTAGTAATTCCATGTCCTGTGATTAAAGGCAACAGAAAACTACAATGGCCCTCAATTCATCAGGAATAAAAGTTTGGACCATTTTACTGGGCAAGGAACCATGAACAGCTCAGATGCTTGTTAAGAGCAATGAGAATATGAAGTGGGTGTTGTTGTTGTTGTTATATGCTGTGGAGTAGGACCCGACCAATAGTGACCCCTCCTTGGGTTTCTGAGGCAGTATCACTATGGAAGTAGATTGCCCCATCTTCCTTCTGAGGAGTGGCTGGTGGGTTTGAACTGCCAGCCTTCTGGTTAGCAGTCAAGTGCCTTAGGCACTATGCAACCAGAGCTCCTATGGAGTGGGTAGTGGATAGTAATAAATACCAAGTGTAAGTCTAGGAAGGAGGCCTGGTGATGCAATGGTTAAGCATTCAGCTGCTAACTAAAAGGTCTGCAGGTCAAATCCACCAGCTGTTGAGTAGAAGAAAAGACTAGGTCATTTGCTCCTGTAAAGATTTTAGCCTAGGAAACCTTCTGGGGCAGTTCAACTCTGTCCTATAGGGTCACTATGAGTTGGAATTGACAAGATGGTATACAACAACAACACAACTACAAAAATGAAGAATGAAACAGTTATAAGTATTTCTTATAACTATTATTATTATTAATGAATAATATAACTATCAATATATTATATAATAAAATTTACAATATAATTAATATAATATAATAATAATTATATTATTGTGTGTATACATGTTAACCAAATATTGTTTCTTCTCTTACCATTGAATATAAAAAGTGTCAATAGCAATTAGCTTTGTTTTTCTGTATTTAAATTCTGATACCAAAGGTGAGAAGAATGATCATGATCTAAAGACACAAAAGGGACTTTGCACTTTCTTCTGGAAAAGTTTTCAGATGTATATGGGACAGACGTATCATGTTAAGTAGAAGAATGCCTTTATTAATGTCTTTATTTAGGGATTAAGTCTGGCTTAAGAATATGTATATGAGTGTCAAGTTGATCAAGGGTAGAGTACGATGGTTTTGTATTGTGTCAGCTTGGATAGGTTGAACTATATGTCCCAGAATTCTTTTTCCTATATGTTTCTCTTTAGGGTAGACCACAAGAGAGATGCTTATGGAAGATATGGTGAGTGAAAGTAAAGTAACAGTCATTTCCTAGCTGATAAGATGTGTTGCTTATTTGCTGGCTTACCTTGTGGCATGAGGCAGTGGCCAGGTATGTGCATATCTAGCTCCATGGCAAAGGGAACTGGCTTCTACAGAATACCCAAACCACCAAGAACAGAGGCAACAAGAACTGACATAAGTGTAATTGTATCCTCATGGCCTCATGCTTATGAGTTCCAGCTCCTTCTTGTTCTCCCCTGTTTTACATCCCTCTTCTCTTACCAACTGTCTCCTCTGTTGACTCAAGCTCCAGTATCAGATGCAAAGAAACAGCCTTACAAAGACTTAAAAATCTTGGGTGAAATCCCTGTGACAAACCTTTCAGTCTCTCTCACGCTGTCTCTCTAATATCTATCTATCTATCTATCTGTCTAAAACCAAAACAAACCCAACTGCCATTGAGTTGTTTCCAACTCATTGAGACCTCAACTGGGTTTCCAAGGCACATCTTTCCAGAAGTAGATTGCCCCATCTTTTTTCCACGGAGTGGCTGGTGACTTTGAACCACCAACCTTCTGGTTAGCAGTCAAATGCCTTAGGCCCTGTGCCACCAGAGCTCCATATGTGTATATACATAATATGTGTGTGTGTACTACTCATATATATAGATATATGACTTGACAGCCCATAACAACAATATATATGAATATATCTATCCTAGTGATTCTGCTTCTCTAATTGAACCCTGGCTGATACACCTGTAAAGTTTAGCTATAATGACAGGGACATTCAGCTGAAGTTTAGGTATTAATGATACTTGATAGAATGGTGGAATGATCTTTTGATGATTTACTTAAGGTTCCTGATAGCTGACAACAACTTGGGGGGCTGGATCAATGTCCTCTAGAACATGGTATTTGTATAAATCAGCATTTAATATATGGTGCTATTTACTTGGTGTTATTTACTTGGTATATGAACTCTTTCCCAAATTATTTCCTTTAAATATGTAAAGAGCTGTGCAACTTTTAAGTACTTAGTGATTACTTTTCTCCTATAAGTGTTTGTAGGAGCTCTGGTAGCATAGTGGCTAAGGCACTTGACTGCTAACCAGAAGGCTGGCGGTTCAAACCCACCAGCCACTCCTCGGAAGGAAGATGGGGCAATCTACTTCCGTAGTGATACTGCCTCGGCAACCCAAGGATGGGTTGCTATGAGTCGGGTCCGACTCGACGGCACATAACAACAACACAACAACAACAACTCATTTTCTGTCACCTATAACCAGAGCAAGCAGTTCTGGTGGCAATGTGGTTGGTTAAAGCATTGAGCTGCTAACAAAAAGGTTAGTTAGAACCTACCAGCTGCTCCATGGGAGAAAGATGAGGCAGCTTATTTCTGTAAAGATTTACAGCTTTGGAAACCGTATGGGGCAGTTCTACTCTGTGCTATGCAGTCTCTACGAATTGAAATAGACTTGATGGCTGTGGGTATGGTTTTGGATAACCAGAGTAAATCCATTTCTGCTCTGTAGCCATAACCAGACATCACCATCGCTTTGTTTTTTACCATCCAAATTGGTTGGGAAGTGTGAAACCCAAAATAAGAAAGCAATGACAAGTGTCACCTGCTTCTTTTACCTAAAGAGATAGTACAAACTCTGTAGGCTGGAACTCGATGCCCTCCTTAAACTGGGTGGAGCCCACCTGCTTTCTGAGATGCTTGCCTCTCCACCTCTTTCCTTTAGACATCAGGGCAGTACCTGTAAACATCTTCAGGTCCATTCTAGCCCTTGATGCTCTCATTATTCTCCTTCTTTTGCCTAGGATGTTATCCGGGGGCAACTTCCCACAGTCCAAATCCTGTCCAACCACCAACGTCAAGCCAAAATCTTTTGCATAAAAGTTTTTTTCTAAATACTCTAAGCTACAGCAATCTTTCTTCTCACAACTCATAGCCTTTCCTGCCTGTCATAATACTGATTTGGTACTCGGATATAGGTCCAATGAGATATCCCATTTGACTACCCAGTCCTTATCTCAAAAAACCAAAAAAAAAACAAACTCACTGCTGTCGAGTTGCTCCTGACTCATAGCAACCTCTTTTTGGGTTTCTACAGAAGTAGATTGCCCAATCTTCCTTCCAGGGAGTAGTGGCTGATGGTTTTGAATCTTCAGCCTTCTGGTTAGCAGTCAAATGCCTTTGGCACAATGCCACCAGAGCTCCTGTCTCTGTCTTAATCAATATTTATGTATGTCTTATGTTCAGAAAAAAGAGCTCTGGTGGCACAGTGCCAAAGTTCTGGTGGCATCAGTTGCTCTGCGTAAGGAAGATGGGACAATCTACTTCCATAGAGATTTACCACCTTGGAAACCCAATGGAGGTGTCTATGAGTCGGAATCACTTGATGGCAGTGTTTGGTGTTTTAGGTTTTGTCTCCCTAAGCTACAACAGCAATCATCATATTACTCTTGAATTGTTTTTACTACTCATTTTATTGAGAAATGTTGGATGAGAATGCTGGATTTTAAACTACTCAATTTCTGATAACGGATTAGAGTCATGCCTTACCTTACCAAAAATTCATTCAGCAACTCAAGTCAGAGTAACATGCTTCATTCACAAAATTATTAGAACACGTTTTCACCCTTAAAAAAAATCATATATATCTCTCATCAAACACATACCTGCTGAGACTCGGGGGCAGTCAGGCAGCATGGACTCCACCGATGTGTCTAATGGTTCTGAGCTGGAGACCCAATTACAACAGTTCTGTAATGTAATAGAGACAATTCTCTGTAGAAACAAGTTAGACCAAGACCAAATTTTTAGGCTGCAAAGATTAATTTATTCGGTATGATCAACTAAGGAGTGCTGGTGGTGCAGTGGTTAAGGCATGTATCTGTTAACTAAAAGGTTTGTGGTTTGAATCTGCCAGCCGCTGTGAGGGAGAAAGATAAGACAGTCCACTTCTATAAAGATTTACAGCCTTTGAAACCTCATGGGGCAGTTATATGTCCTATAAGGTCTCTGTGAGCAGGAGTTGACTCAATGGCAGTGGGTATGGTTTTGAGGTATATGGTCAATGACTAAAAGTGCATTCATTTTCCCTATACTTAAAAGAATTTTCTTATGTAAACACTCAGTAATTTTTCATGACCAACATGTCTGTAGAAAAAGATTTATCATTTACAATTCAGCCAGCCATCTGTGTTCGTACTATGAAGGCACGTAATTTCCTGTGAATCATGATGTAGTACATTTCTAAGAGAACGATGGAGAGCCAAAAAGTATTGCGACAAAGAAAGAGATTATAATGAAAGAAAACTGATTGAAATAGATATTAATTTGATAACTGCATTTCTAACCTATATTATTTGGATATGTAATACTAGAAGAAATAAATTTTGCACTTATTCCTAAAAATTTGGCCAAATAAATATATCATCTTTTAACTTTTATTTAAATCTGGTTCAATGAAGGCCATATCAAAATAGTACAAAACAAACACAACCTGGTGAATTGTAGCTATGTGTCTGAGGACACAAAGCCTTCCATATTAAAGATCAACCTCTAAGGCAATGATTTATAATTCAGACAAATGAAATTAAAAAACCTATATTCTTTCCATACATTTTACTTCTATATTTGAAGTCTGGCCTTTAAAAAAATGTGATTAACTTCATATGGCTTTTTGATAATTTCTCAAAACACACACACACACACACACACACACACAAAGAATCCCCAGACAGATTTTTAAAAAAGAAATCATGCCATCAATCATGTTGGAAACATCGTTGATTACTATTCTGGTAAACAAGCATGTATTGTGTATTTTTAGATGCTTGCTGCTCTGGTTGTGCACCATGGAATCCGTCCTTACTGTGGAAAGATCCTTGACTGGTAGATCAAGTATCTTATTGTATTTCCTTAATTCATTCTGTCTGGAAGAAGATGTCAGCTGTGTTGCAGTGAGGAGAGAATTTCAAAGGCCCAGTCCCCACCAATAAAGGCCGGGGAATGGCTTTTGAATAGATTTTTCAAGGCAACCCTACTGTTCTGGGACCAGGGAGAGCAGGAATAACATAAAGGAAGAGTTGCTGTAGGAGATTAGAAAGTGAAGTTCACAAAGCATGGCAGATTTTTGTAAGAAACAGTAGATCAATGAAACTATTGAACTGTGTGGAGAAAAAAACACATGAAAACAAACACAACATTGGGCAATGTTCTTAAATGCTTTCTCTCTTTTTTACATTTAAAATAGATAAAATATTAGTATTTTCATGTATTACAAAAGCTTGATGGTTTAAAGTGGATACATATTCTATAATGTGCACTCCTAATCTTAATTAGCAGCTGAATACAAAATTATACAATGTAAGAGAGCAGAAATTATAAAAGAAATAGGGTTTCAGAAGGTATTTCATACATTTAAAATAAGTAAAATTAATATTACTATTGATAGAATACCACATCAGAGAGTTCTAGATAATGCAGAAGATTAGCACACAATTAGCCAGCTTTTATATACAACGTGACATTTGCTTGTAAGAAATAAGTATTCTCCAAAGCAGTGTCAAGATATGTAAATGGATGATTTGTTTTATCATTCTTCACAGCCCCTAATAAATTCAAGAAATCATGACTTCTATAGATACTAAAAATAGGCTCCCAATGATACAGGGAGATAGCTTCAATGAAGAATGACTTTCTCTTTTTCTTAAACAATTCAGTCTTTTCAATGACAGCCATTAGCACTACAGACAGACAGGCAGTGATTAGGTATATATTTTAATTATTATTCATCCTACTAGTACCTCCAAATCTGATGAAAGTCAGCTATTATCCAGGTGATACGTCAGTCTTAAGACTGCTCACCTACACTTCACATACGTAAAACAATGTCTTACATGGTATTTCTAGTATTAATAAAATTTAAGGAGCTCTGGTAGCATAGTGCCTAAGGCACTTGACTGCTAATCAGAAGGCTGGTGGTTCAAACCCACCAGCCACTCCTCGGAAGGAAGGCTGGGCAATCTACTTCCGTAATGATACTGCCTTGGCAACCCAAGGAGGAGTCGCTATGAGTCGGGTCCGACTCGACAGCACATAACAACAACAACAACAATAAAAGTGATGGTACTGGGTTGCTCTGAGTTGGAATTGACTGAATAGCACACAACAATAACAGCAGGTGATCAGTCATTTTCTAATTTGTTATTATTGACTTTGAAAAGCTGAACAAAATGAACTTTATCAAGGTTACCTGTAATTTAAACAATTAAAGTAAAATATAGGTTAAAATTTTATGATTCTGAAATTTTTATTTTTATTTAGGCAGATGCTTTGCTCTTAAATAAAAATAGGATAGAAGACAGTCTATAGTTAAACTCAGGATGTCCAAAAGTTTTATACTGTAAGTTTGAAGACTGTATGTAAGTGTGCATGTGTATGTGTGTATATTTTTACCCCACTGGGAAAAAATATATAGTAAAAAGGGCAAAACAAGATAAAAGTATGCTTCCCATATGATAATGTACAATGAAATAAAACAATATAAACATACTGGAAAATATATGTAAAGAAATAAATATGAGAAAAACATATGCCATTACACATGAATTCAATTTGTCTGAAATTTCATTTTATCAAGTGTAATCCCTACTCTGAAATGTGTTTCTATATTTGGAAACAAAATCTCTTTGCCTGTCTTTCTAATGCTTATTCTATCCCTCTTCTCAATGTTCCAATTTGGCACCCCACTCTAGTTCTTTGTAGTCCAAGTTCAAGTAACAGTGGGCATGAATATCCCTATAAGAAAGCACTAAATAAACTCAAAATATGCTGGAGTGTGTTCCCAGCCCCTGGAGATCTTATTCTAAGGTGCCCTGAGCAGGTAAGGCAGCATATGCTAGACAAGAGGCACTAACAGAGCCAGCCTAGAGTCTCAAATACAGCTTCTTTCATCCCAACCAACAAGCAGGGATAAAGTGGTCCTTGGCCAGAGCTAGCAGACTGGGATGAATTATGTAACTATCATTTCTCTGGATCTTAGGGAAAAGAGAAAAATAAAGATGAAGTGAGTGTTTCTCAAAATGTTTTCAATTTAAAGGGTTTTCACTCTGGGATTATAACCTTTCAAGGTTTTGTGTTTGTAAATTGTCCTTTCTGAAATCCCAAAGCTTGGGAACTACTGATACTGACTGGAAGTGCTTATAGGTCACTAAGCTGAATGACATCCTTTGACATTTGATCCAGAGGTTAACAATATTCCAAAGTAGACATGAAATGAGTTAAAACTTTTTATAAAAAGGGTAAGAATTTAGTAGCTTATGTTTAAAAAGAAAACGAGGTGGTCTTCTTCTTTTTTTTTTTAAATTTTATTTTATTTAGATTTGGGTGAAGATTTACAGAGCAAAATCACTCTCGATACAGCAGTTCACATATACTTTGTCTCATGTCATTGACCACAATTTACCACAATGCAACAGCTCCCCTCCAATTTCCTCCCCAAGGTACCACTTCC